TTAATTAGATTGAATTGATGATTATTGTCGATCATTTCCTAATGGGGGAGGGGGAGTTGCGTTACGTTAGGCTAGGCAAGGCAAAGCTGGCCCGTTGATCGAAAATGAAGCGGTCAAAACCCTCGTGCACAGGGAAGAAAAGGAGAAAGGAACAAGATAAAAAGAAAGCCCAGTATAGAGGTAAGTCTTCTCATCTCAGCCATTAAGTTGTCAAACGAAATAAATTTACTTAGTATTGTGCAAAGGCATGTACTGGCCATCGGGACTACCGGAAGATTCCCGGTGGGCCGACGTGCTTTTTGGGCCGATACATCTCGAATACTTTTATATATTTATTTATTTTTTTGTCTGAACGGCCCATAAAACTCGTACATCGGCGGCCCATTCGTTTTGTTTTGTTTAATTGGTGGCGCTGGGTTATAACTTGGTTTCAAGTAAAGAAATGTGTACAAAACTTATTAGGCTATGAAAGTTTCCTTTATTTTTATTATTGCATTTGTTTTACAATATATGGCTATTAGTAATATAGTTCTAACCTGTCTGTTTCCCTGCGAGGCGGTTCATCAGGTAGGACTTCCCGGTGCGGTAGAGACCCACCACGGCCACCACCACCACTGGCTCCTGGATCTGCTGCAGGATCTGTAGTGCTGACTCCTGCACACACAGCTTCCCTTCTGACCCAGTGTCAATCAAGCAGACTGGTTTATCCATGATCACTGGAGAATACAGCTGTACAACAGATACACACATTTAACATCCTTTAAGCTACTGCAGTGTGCTAGAAGTAAAAGTCTAAGATGGGTTGAGAAATATTCTCCAGTTATTCTACAGTACACAAAACCATAGCAGCTTTTCCTCTTCTGTTTGGGGAAGTTTGTGTAAAATTATTTCTCTTGACGTATTAACACACACACACACACACACACACACACATGTAGAAAGAGAAACAAACAAAGGCCACAGAATATACTGACTTATATACATGTATAAACATTCCAATATAAACCATATCTTTCAACAAATGCAGACATCCACAATCACATAATGCACACACACACACACACACACACACACACACACACACACACGTTCACCAAAAAAGACACAAGCACACTGAATGAGACAAAAATGCTGTAAGCTTTGTTTGTGTCCAGCTAAAATATCAGCCCCAACTCAAACTCCTCTGGTCTATAACTTTACTGGGTTTAGTTGATGAACAGTCATTTGAAGCTGTAGAAGACATGGCCCTAAATTTATCAAAACATGTCAAGGTGTAGAGTTAAAACACACACCCACACACACACACACATTTATATATGGCTTATGGTGACTCTTCTTATGTGTAATAGATTTTATGCCGAGCTAATGATATTTCCTATCAGTTGTAATACCCATGTAACCCATGGATGAAAGAACGTCACTTACCCTTTTGCTTAACTTAACTTCAGTTGCTGGATCTGAGTAGTATACATGTTGTAGCTTCCTCAAATTCACTCTGTATTTCTTTAACACTCCTCCAGGTCCGGCCTCTTAAAGCTAATTGGTCTAGAGTAAGTTAGGGGATTTCTCTGGTCTCTCAGTATATCTCTGGTTATTCCCTGAGGCTGACTTGCATCCCTTGTATTGACACAACAAATAGCAATGTGCAGTTTAACTTTTGGTTTCACTTCAAAATCAGCAACTTTACTGTGTTAGCAAATACAAGAACTTGGAGACTTCCCAAAATGTGCAACCACATGATCTGTGGATTTTTCCCCCTGATGAAATTAACTGGAAATTCCCACCAATGTCTGACTTTTTCCTGGTTATCAGACAAAATATGTTTACCTGTGACTCAATCAGTAGTGCATGACAATTACAATGCAAAGATCAGGAGTCCAGGAAGCTCTTTTACTCAAACATTTTCTAACATAGAGATGTGTTCAATAAGTTTACTGTTCAATATAATGATTGCATTAAAGCCTTGATACAAATACCAACCTTGCCAGATAAACAACAACAGATAACATTTACATTTATTCATTTAGCAGACGCTTTTATCCAAAGCGACTTACATATGAGAACAACAGAAGCTGTTAAACTAACACAACAATATGCAAGTGCTATGACCCTTCCCAGTTTAATGTCAAGCAGTACCTGTTTTTTTTTAGGCTATAGATATAGAATAGAAGATAAAGTGGTAGTATTAATGGATAAAGTGTTGCCGAAAAAGATGCGTCTTCAGCCGTTTCTTGAAAATGGCTACGGACTGGGCAGCTCTGGTTGAGTTAAGCAGGTCATTCCACCAGCAGGGAACAGACCAGGAAAAGGTCAGAGAAAGAGATTGAGGCTATGTTTACACGGAAACGATCTGAAGAAAAAACGCAAAAGTGGCGTTGCGTTATCACTTTTTATTCTGCGTTTAGACGAGCGTTATGGTTGGGAAATCCGCGTGCATATGGTGACGCAAAAGTGTGTGAAATTCGATGTAGTATGTACTCCAGGCGGCTAGGTGGCAATGTGAAGCACTGCCACACAACAACACCATATCTTAGAATATTTTGTACAACTGTTGAAAAGACTCTTGTATGTTTTTCAGAGCTGCTAGGTCAAATTGAAGGTCCGACGTATGGAAATAATCTGACATGTTGGTTGTTATATGCATGCATGTGACGTAAATGCGTACGCGACGAGAGCCACCGTGAGCAGATTTGCGTTCTTACCGTTTAGACGGGAACGCGACGGTGGAGCGTTTTTAAGATTTCCACTCTGGAGGGTGGTTTCACTTTTTTGCGTTTTTAAGCCCCCAAAACGCCGTTGCCGTGTAAACGAAAGGCACATCCGATAAAATATTTTTACGTTTTCACCCGGAATCGTTCTCGTGTAAACGGGGCCTTAGTGCCTCTTTGACGTAAGACCTAACCTTATGTCTTCAACATACACATGGAAAGAGTCTAACGCAAAAAGTTGGGATTTCCTCATTATGTTGCAAATTCTGACTACACTGACACTATGAGGCCATTTTTGTCCCTATAAGTATGTCAAAGCAGTACACACAGGCACGGACACACACTCACAGATCTAAATCAATATACACTGCTCAAAAAAAATAAAGGGAACACTTAAACAACACAATTTAACTCCAAGTCAATCACACTTCTGTGAAATCAAACTCTCCACTTAGGAAGCAACACTGATTGACAATCAATTTCACATGCTGTTGTGCAAATGGAATAGACAACAGGTGGAAATTATAGGCAATTAGCAAGACACCCCCAATAAAGGAGTAGTTCTGCAGGTGGTGGCCACAGACCACTTCTCAGTTCCTATGCTTCCTGGCTGATGTTTTGGTCACTTTTGAATGCTGGCGGTGCTTTCACTCTAGTGGTAGCATGAGACGGAGTCTACAACCCACACAAGTGGCTCAGGTAGTGCAGCTCATCCAGGATGGCACATCAATGCGAGCTGTGGCAAGAAGGTTTGCTGTGTCTCCTGAACATTCGTCAAGGTAACCAGACCATTGAAAATTATGTCAAGAACTTTTGTGAACTATGTAATTTGGTTTATTTTAAAGGCGTGGCTCTAAAGGACATTTTCTGCTTTGAGCTAAACAAACCGGTGCGGTCTCGATTACCTGGCCCAATTTATTGACTATGCCCTTCTTCTGAGCGGTTCTCCATTTACTGTGGGTTTCGCAGACGAGCAACCCCACAATGCCTGCCAAGTCTGAGTCTCTTCCTGCCGAGCCTAAACTTCTTCGCGTCGAGCCTGAGCTTCTTCAGGTCATGCCTGTCGAGCCTGAGATTCACGTCAAGACTGCCGAGCCTGAGCTTTACGCCAATTTATAATTGAAAGGACTGTTATTGCGGCATCCATAGACATCATAACAATAATTGTATTGTTTTGCTAGTACTTGTGTATTTAAAAGTCTGAATCCTAAAATATACCTTATGTGGTTGGAAACACTGAATAGATGCGATATGACTCCGTTCCAGCCAAAGCACGAAAGCATGTTTGAATTTAGCAGTTGATCATGTGACGCACAATGTTCTAATCATACAGGTCGGTATGTGCAACTGTGTTGCAGTTAATTATTAACATTGAAACTTTATTACCTTTTTGAAATAATCCATCAAAAAAGTTGAGATTTGAGGAGCGTGCACTAATATTTTCACAACAGGGGCAATATCATGAATACTCCATCCACTGAAACAGTTTTCACAGGAACTGAATATCACACAACACTGGTTTGCTCATACGCATCAAAGGGTTACACGCATGCTTCAGTTTAAGTTTAAAACACAGAACAAAGAAATAAAGAGACCTGAGTGAAAGAATGCTGAGTGTGTTTGTTGGAAATCAGGAATGATGAGAGAAAATTGAGCTTGGTACGTTTTTTTTATCTTCAAACCAAACTTGGGTGTTCAGCTGACAAAGTTTAAATCTCGTCTGGTTAGCTTCCCATAGTGTTTACTCATTTGGCCTGTAGGTGGAGAGTAGGTCTTTGGTGGCTCTTCGAAGCAATCCTGTCAAATGTGTTTTCAACTACATCTGGAAGTGGTCGATAGTGGACAAGCTCAAAACATTTTAGACTCTATTTACTTACACCTGTATTTAGCATCATCCACTTGACTAAAGCACATCTTAACACCAGGGCCTTATTTACAACCACCAATGCAGTCACATACAATTCTAGTTTCTCTTTTCTTTTTAAGTCCCTCTCATTAACGTCTCTTTTAATATCTTGAGCCTGAAGGGCCTATAGAGTTTGGCACTAGCAAGCCTCACATTGCATATTGCAGTGTAAATATTTGTATAGTTTAGTGGGGCATACATATGGCACACTTTCATTGAAGAGAAACAGACTAATCTAATTACCTTATTATTTGTCTCTGTTACTTGTCTGAATATTGATAGTAGTACTCAGATTTTTAACCACTCCTTTGCCACATATACACACACACACACACACACACACACACACACACACACACACACACACACACAGATTTGTTTTTAGAAATACCATCTGTTTATTTGATGCTTACTTGGAATGCCAGATAAACTGTTGAATCACTAATTAACCTTTTTTGTCACTGTTTATAATTACTTAGCAATGTCAAATAAACATATAATTATGATAGATCATGGATCATTTACACTCGACACACAAAACATACAAAAATGAATTGTAATTTTCCTAATCTATCACTGAAGTTTGTGCAAAGATAGAATGAGAACAATTTAATTGTTTTATTGTTAGATTATACCTCTATATACTGTGTTTTCACTGTGAAATTATATGCCTCTAATAAGTAAATTCTGATGAGTGATCACAGAATTTAAGCATTTCACAAGATACAACATCCGCCTGAAGACTTTGCATTCATCCGCTGGATGGCCTCCATCTGTTCTCTGTTTTGCTGCATCATCATAGCCATAGACTCCTCATGTCTCTTGTTGGAGTTTTCTAACATCTCTGCAAACTCTCTAGCTCTATTACTCTCAGCTTCAGCATTCTGTCTCTTGAACTCTTCCATCTCCTGGCTCATTCTGTCTGCCTTATCCTTAAAGCCCTTCTCCAACAGATCAGCCTGCTCCCTCAGTTTGCTGTCCATGGCACGCTCAGCCTCCTCTCTCTGGAGCCTGATCTCCTTATCCATCTTCTCCTTCATCTGTATCATCCTCTCTTCGTTACTCCGTCTCTCTGCTTCCATCTTCTCTTCCAGTTGTCGCTGTTTCTCCTCTTTAGATTTGATTTCCTGCATCAGGAGGGTCGCTTTCTCTGTTTCCTCTAGTCATTCATTGACAAAAAGAAAAAAAGGGAAACAGATGTATTATACTCAAGACTCAAACTATGTGATTAAGAGTCTATTCTGGTGTAAGACATAAAATATTGATTTTATATATGATTCACATACTAAGACACCTTCTAAGAGGAAAACTTCCAAAGAGATTATTTTCATCTCTAAGTTGCACTCTTTTCAAAAACATGGACTGCAGTTGTTATTGCAGGGTGCAATTATTGGACCCTTGAAACAGCTTGTACCAAAATAAGAGGCTGTTACTTCATCTTGTCCATGTGTCCTTCAGTGTCCATCAGCACTCTCACAAGTACCTAAACCTTTGAGCACCTCTTTCACAAGGAGTCTGGTATGAGCTAACAAACAGGGAAAATGGGATTTAAAGATTTAAGACTCTCACCCTTAATAATTTTTTCCTTCTCGGTCAGTTTTTTGTCAGCCTGCAGAATTGCTTTTGATTCCACAGACTTCTGCTTGAGAAACTCCTCCAGGACCTCTTCGACCTATTACATACAGACACATAAAGAAAAAAAGTGATAATTATGATGATGATCATATTTCAGTAATGTGCAGTATGTGTATAGAAGTGTAATAAGTCTAATATGGGCAAGACCTTGACTTCTTTATTGGCCTGGTTGTTATAATTCTTCACAATGTCCTCCAGATCCTTGCAGAAGAGATCATAGCCACCAGGTTTGGCATAGAAGCCCTGTTTGAGTTTTTCTGTCATTGGTTCCGAGAGGGATGACAAGAGATCCTCACATCGTCTCTTTGAAGCTTGCTCGTTTTGGCACAGGTATCCATCAAAGAGTTTATTAATGTTTTCCTATAAAAACACAACATGCATCAGAGGAGATTTCACCAACGTATACTCTGACATCTCTTCATACCATTGAACCCCAGGAGAGGACAGTGAAATAATCACACTGATTACTGGGTTTGCAGTATGTATTCAGAACCAACAAAGGGCCAGAAGAGAGATTACATTTTTCAGTTGGTTGCCCAGTGTTACTGAGTCAACAGTTCACAGCATCATCCTAAATGATCTGAACCTGAAAATCTATGAAGAGATTCTGTCTACCTCTAGAGATTTCAGGTACTTCCCGTCAGTGTCTCTGAAGGAACGCTTCATGAAGGTTTGTGTCGCCAAGCTGCTGAGATGTTGGTGTTCTGAGGACACTTCCTTCAGTCCCAGAGGGAAGGAGTCCTTAAGCTTCTCCATTCCACTCTTGTAAACCTGAAGCCCCTCTTTCACTGCAGCCTCATTCTCAATCATTGCCATGGCGATCACAGCGTTCTCCAGACACGGCACAGCCCCACTGGAGATGGTGTCCACGTACATTTTCACCAAATGACTCAGAACTTCAGAGAAGGAAAGAAGTCAAACAACATGATACGGGAAATGTATTGCACAACAGACAGTCATCTGTATGTTAATGCAAACTCTAAACAGATTTATTTTTGAGTAACCTCTGCCAGTGACTGTGATTCCATCCTTCAGCTTCTTCACATGGCTCTCGTGAAAGACAAACTTGCAGAAACGATCTGTGATATCTAGGAACTCAGAGGAAAGATCAGCAGGATCCAAACTTTCCAAACGAGACACATTGTCTGGGGCAGTTGGAAACGGGAAAGTGAAGCACGTCCTGGAAGGGAAGAATTTTTGGATGCACTCCCTGGGCAAGTTGTGCTCCATCACTTTTTTTGATGTGCCTAAAACAAATAAGCACATGCTGTAGCTCCTCTCAATTCAAATACATTAACCTTGAATTTTAAAAGAGTAACAGAATCTGTTAATCTGTTGACAAAAACTAGTCACACAAACTCATTATTTAATTACCATGTTTCAGCTTCAGAGCAAACTCTAGGTACTCATTCTCTGTTGCGTCTTTGCCATCGATCTTTCGCTCAAGGGTGAAGTCCCTCACAGCCCAGATGAAACTAGGGAAGAACTTCACAAACTCGCTTGAATCGTCCTCATCCTCATCTGATGATTTGACCTTGATACACTCTGTTAGTTCAGTAACAAATCTGACAGTTTGTTCAGGCATGAACACAAAGAGACTGTCAAACAACACAATTCATAGTCAAACAAAACAAGTGTGTCATTCTGTGGCGAGCAGGACGAGGCCGAGGGCCGTGAGAGAATGGCACGAGGCCGATGGTGTGATTACTAATGAGCGACACCTGCACGACGCACCGGTCTCGTATCTCCCACAGAGGAGAAGCTCGAGAGAGGAACAGGTCTGGCCTTATGCTGTGTTTTGTTTTATTATATGTGACAGCAGTCGTCCGTGAGTGGCTGCTGTCTTTAACTTTTGTTTTGTATTTGTTTTATTTTTGTATTAAAATGTGTGTGAACGTTCACCGGTTCCCGCCTCCTTTCCACAACATCTAACATTGTTGCACATTCATACTAAGCAAAGTTTTAACACCTGTTCTAAATACTTTAATATCACAAAGCCTAGCTATGAAGGAAGCCGTTAGATGTAGATAAGTAGGTGTAGAAGTAGGTAAGTAGATGTAAATAAGTCCCCCCCCTCCATCCCTTTGCCCTTTTTGTGCCTTTCTCAGTAAAAATAAATAAACCCAATGCAAAATAAACCCAATGCATGTCCTCTTACTAGACTGTACCAACACATGGCAATAAAATAATATATGTTTAGCACCTTACAAAAAGGGACATCTCCTTGTTTTGACTACTAAGTTGTGCTGTATTTGTTCTCATTTGTAAAAGCATCAACTAAATGACATAATAGTTATCTAAACTGTCAGAAGGATACTGCAACTCCTCTACAGCCCTGTTGTCAATCGTCCCTCGACTGTTGTAGACCAGAGTGCTGCTCAGTAACACAGCCAGACAGAAAATGTTAGTGTCATGCTTTGAGTCTCCCTGAGAAAGAGAAAGACAATCATGGAGTTAGAAAAATGGGAGATTAATCTCAAAAAAGCGGCTCTATTTTAACAGTGTTAAATCAGTGCAAATTAGTCTTTAAATAGGGTGACCAGACGACCTGTTATTCCCGGGACACTAACGTTTTTCAGCTATATTTTTAGTGTCCCGACTTATTATGAAAAAAATCATGTTTTGTCCCACATTGTTCAGTACTTTGGTTTTTACGTCACCTTGTCCACGTCTCCGAGTCCCTCCGTGTCCAGCAGCACCAGAGTGGTTCCTGCTTTAGTGGGGTGAGACACACACCACATCCAGATGCCCTTCGTCTTGGACTCTATGGTGCTGCCCAATGCAAATCCTGATAATGCCACACCAAAAAAATAAAGACTAATATGCATGAAACTGCATGATGTTTTTCTTAAGCTTTTGGATGCTCTCTCAGCACTGTATAGTTCTAACCTGTTTGTTTCCCTGCGAGGCGGTTCATCAGGTAGGACTTCCCGGTGCGGTAGAGACCCACCACGGCCACCACCACCACTGGCTCCTGGATCTGCTGCAGGATCTGTAGTGCTGACTCCTGCACACACAGCTTCCCTTCTGACCCAGTGTCAATCAAGCAGACTGGTTTATCCATGATCACTGGAGAATACAGCTGTACAACAGATACACACATTTAACATCCTTCAAGCTACTGCAGTGGGTAACACTTTATTTCGATAGTCCATTTTAGACATTCTACTAACTATAAGTAACTTTGCAGCTACATGTCAACTAACTGTCATTATAGTGTTAGTAGACTGTCTAATTAATATTTGCTAACACTTTATTTTGTTGGTCCCGCAATAGATATTCTACTGACTATAAGTAACTTGGCAACTACAAGTCAACTTATTCTACTAACCCGAACCCTAACACCTAACCATAACCACAGTCTACCGACAGTTAACTACAGTCTACTAATACTCTAATGAGAGTTAGTTGACATGTAGTTGCAAAGTTACTTACAGTTAGTAGAATGTCTAGAGTGGACAATCAAAATAAAGTGGAACCCTGCAGTGTAGAAGTAAAAGTCTAAGATGGGTTGAGAAATATTCCAGTAATTCTACAGTACACAAAACCAGAGCAGCTTTTCCTTTTTGTTTGGAGAAGTTTCTGTAAAAGGGTATCTCATGTCGTATTAACAAACACGCACACACGCACACACACACACACACGTAGAAAGAGAAACAACCAAAAGCCACAGAATATACTGACTTATATACATATTTAAACATACTAATAAAACCCAGATCTTTCAACACATGCAAACATCAGCAGTTACATAATGCACACATACACACATTTACCACACATTACACAAGCACACTGAATGAGACAAAAATGCTGTAAGCTTTGTTTGTGTCCAGCTAAAATATCAGCCCCAACTCAAACTCCTCAGGTCTATAACTTTACTGGGTTTAGTTGATGAACAAAGTCGTTTGAAGCTGTAACACGACATGGTCCTAAACTTTATCAAGACATGCCAAGGCGTAGAGTTCAATCACACACACGCACACACACACACACACACACACACACACACACACACACACACACACACACACACACACACACACACATTTATATATGGCTTATAGTGACTCTCCATATGTGTAATTGCTTTTATGCCGAGCTAATGATATTTCCTATCAGTTGTAATACCCATGTAACCCATGGATGAAGGAACATCACTTACCCTTTTGCTTAACTTAACTTCAGTTGCTGGATCTGAGTTGTATACATGTTGTAGCTTCCTGTCATTCTATCTGTATTTCCCCAGACACTCCTCCAGGTCCGGCCTCTTAAAGCTAATTGGTCTAGAGTAAGTTAGGGGATTTCCTGGTCTCTCAGTATATCTCTGGTTATTCCTTGAGGCTGACTTACATCCACTTTTATTGACACAATAAATAGCAATGTGCAGTTTAACTTTTGGTTTCACTTCAAAATCAGCAACTTTACTGTGTTAGCAAATACAAGACACTTGGAGTCTTCCCAGGACGTGCGGTGCAACCACATTGTCATTGTTAATCAGTTGTGTTTTTATTTTTCTCACTCCAAATGAAATTGACTGGGAATTCCCAACTATGTCTGACTTTCTCCTGGGTCTCAGACATCATGAAAACATTGGGTAAAATATGTTTACTTGTGGCTCAATCAGTAGAGCATGCTGATAACAGTGCAAACGTCAATCTACCAGAGAAGTTCGTTTCGATTAAAAACATTTGAAAGAGTAAATGACTATTAAATTACTGCATGAAAAAGCCTTAATACAAATACAAACCCTTGCAAGATAAACAACAACACATAACCTTGTGTCTTCAACAAACACATGGAAAGGGTTTAAGATTTGAAAGTCTCTGAAATAGCAGATTGTTGCCATGGTCTGAACTGCTGAGCTAAGAGCTTATTAGAGCCGTGATCAATAAACCGTGTCTGTAGCAACTCATGATGGCAGATCCTTTAACGTGTTTAATGTTCAAAAGTAGGTGAGGGGGTAAATGACTCATTCTCTGTCAGATTCTTCCTCTAGAACAAGGAATAAGTGAATTTTCTGTGCTTTCAGCAGTGTTGACATATTGGAAAAATCACATAGCCTACTACTGTTTATAAAGATATAAAATTAAAGCTAATTTAAGTGATTTTGGGGAGCAGTCCAACTTGAGTAGATATTAGCACAACTGTTAACTAATATCAGTTTGTAGAAGCAATATATAACTTTGTTTCTTTAACTACTATCAAAGTTTCTTGTTTAGTTTAGTTTAGTTAGTGTGTGCTCCTCCTACAGGCAGTGGGGGAAGTTTTGTTATAAAGGCTTGTAGAGGATCGTGTGTCAGGCAGAATCAGCACTTCTGTAAAGTAGATCATCTTTAGAATATGTTATGCATTTTATTTTACTATCACTAAAAAAAAAAATCTGTATTATATACCGACATAACATTTATAACTTGGGATTCCATGTGTAACTTTATTACAGTATAAACAGGATTACACTATATACAGTGCTATATAATTAAATGTGATTTTACTTGCTTTAAAGTTGAACTGTACTTTTTTCATAATTTCTTAACCTTTGCAACATTGGCATTACTTTATAACAGTGAAGCTGCTTTGAAACAATCTGTATTATATAAAACACCATATAATTAAATCACTTGCAGCAAAATATCAACACAGAAACTCACAGAAATGTCCTCTCCTCCTACTCATATTATATTATTATTCCACCTTTACAGCATTACCTCTGATTCTTATAAACATCATGTTGCCTTACTCTGATCAGTCTAATCGAATGTTTACAGAACATTGAAGATCTATGCAACATTCACTCACACAACAGCTGTGATTCACTGATCCAGGAAGAAGGTTGGCTGCTGCTGGCCGCGGCTTTACATGCTCACTTCAGCGAGGATCTGAGACATTCAGTCTATGAAGTTTTCACTGCTAAATTAAATGTAATATCAAGCTAAACATAATCATTTAGACAGTGGTTACAATGCTATTGCTATCAGATATGTTTCTGTCAGATTCTAAATTCCAAAATCAGCCTAACAGCCTATGTTATTTACATAAATCAGGGTTTGTACAGACTCTGTCAAATGAAATTCAAGGACTTTTCGAGCTCTACTTTTTTGGATTTCAAGGACTTCAATCAGCACTTATCAAACAATATCTTTATTATAATTATTATTATTTTTTTTTTTTTTACTCAAATTACATATATGGTATCTAATGTTTCACTTCATAGATATCAATCCATTGACCAGCGCAGTCAGGCATGGGAAATCCCCTTAACCATTGAAATAGATTTTTTTCCCATGAATGTATGATTGACCTGAAGAATGAAAGTTGTATTATATACTTATCATATGATTAATATCATGCTCATAGCCATGAGAAATAGCTCTATATCTCAGATGGGCTGCAGCGTTGATTTAGTGCGTTGAAAACAAAAATGAAATATTTTTAATTAGGGATGCACCAATATCACTTTTTGCAGAACAAGATACCGATACCGTAACTGGTCCCTGAATTTTCACTGCATTTGTAATTTCTAAATGTATTAGTAGATAAAACAAAAGAATATAAATCATTAGTTGGCTTAATTTTTTCATCAAATATATATTTCTTTCAATTATTTTCATGCTTAATTAAGCCTGCTAAAATGCATTGTATGAGCTTCTGTTACTGTTCATTCTATTGCTCTATAATTGTATCTTTCATTGAATCGCACAGCACATGTTTAGAGCTGCTCCTGAAGGGCTCAGTGCTGAGGATTGGGTCAGTGGTACCCATGTTTAGACACCAGTGAAATACCAATTATTTAATCCAATTTTGATACTACAATAAAAACTACCAGCCTAATTAATGTGAATTTAAAACATTATTAAAGGTAAGCAGTCAGTAACAAAATAAGACCAAATAATCAACTTACAAATAAATACAATAGAACAAAGAAAGGCTACAAATGAAATAAACAGTGTTTTTAGAGTTTTTCGGGTAGATCTAACAGGTACAGAAATTTGAATAAAGTAATCAAATGTCAAAAAATTGCATATTCAGTACTGGATAAGTTAAATATAGATGGATCTTATTGTAAAGTTGAAAAGGGTAGCCAATTTAGTCAAGAGCAGTGAGTAATTTATTTGTCCATTGTTTGATTAACATTAAAACAGCAGTGGGTTTATTAAACTGCTGCCCCTTTAAGACTGAACGCACGGACCCCATTTGAACATGGCTATACGTTCACTTGAGATATAACTGACTTTGTTTACTAGGATACTCTCCAAGACGGGCGTTTTTACATCATTTTGTGTGAATTCGTCCGTACAAGCGCAAGACGTGAAAGACAATTTAATTCAGTATTCGTGCGCTGAGACGCTGGTTTGTGTGGCGCGCTAATGTTTGCGTTCATGGAACTTGACCTGGAAACGTCCAGTAATAATGTAGGGAGTCACTCGTTATACATAAATCAGGTAACAGTTCATGTTTTACTTACATATACGATTTAGTTTTCATCCAAATAACACGTGCTGAGTGAACGATCAGCAATCAAGAGCATTCAACAGAACTGCGCTCTCTCTCGTCAGTTAACGTTAAGTTACATCACATGATGCCTCGTTTTATTTTCTTTGCCATTGACATCCGACTGAACTACAAACCTTCCACTGATGTCCGTTAAAAGGGATGTGCTCGACCAGTTCGCGCGTCTGTGCCGCTGTGCGCTCAATCCACAATACTTACTATACACACGCTGCCTGGTAGGCCTATCGGTTGTTGGTATAGGAGCATTTTTACGAGTACGAGTACATGAACTCGGTATCGGTGCATCCCTATTTTGAATAATTCAAGCACTTTTCAAGTACCTCTTCAAAAATATGGCTGTTTTCAAGGGTTTTCCAGGTCTTAAATTTCAAAAAGTCAAATTCAAGTACTTCAAGCACTTTAAGCACATTGTACGAACCCAGATAAATGGATGATCAGCTACCAAACATTACCATATTAAATTGACAAAACTCAGAACTTGAAACAGCTGTGATATAACATATAAAAGTTTGTAGCTATGATTTCAAAACAACAGAAAGTCACATCAAATGCAGTGAGATTATAGCCATTACAAATTCAGAAATCAGTAAAAGCAGTGAACTCCATCTTTCAACACACGTCACTGTATAGAACAGGATCGAGATGCGGGTCTGGGTCTGCTATTAATCGCTTGCATCTGCTGTCTGTGCTGCTGCCTCAATACTTCCATGTTCTGTTCATTTCTTCGCTGCTGATCTGATATCATCTGTGCATACTTTCTCGATGAACTCTCCTCTACTTCTGCATTCTTTCTCGTCAACTCCTGTATCTCCCAGGTCATCCTGTCAGCTTTCTCCTGAAAGCCCTTCTCCATCAGGGCAGACTGCTCTCTCAGCTTACTCTCCATTGCAAGCTTTGTCTCCTGTTGTTGGCGGGACATCTCCTCTTCCATCCTTTCAATGACCTGTCTCACCCTCTCTTCATTATTTTGTTGTTCAATCTCCATCTTCTCCTCCAGTTGACGCTGCCTCTCTTCCTGGGCTATAATTTCCTGTTCCAGAAGGACTGCCCTTTCTCTCTCCTCTGGGGAGCCAAAAAAGAAGGAAGGAGAAGTTTAAGGAAACAGGTGGATTAAAGATTGGAGAAGAGACAAGAGTCTAATCATGGAGACAATCTATCTTAGATAAATTCTACAGTGTCATCCCACGTTAGCAATGAGTACACTGAAAACCGCAGCACTCAAAATGTTGTATGGAACGAGACTGCCTCAGATTCTCTTGGCCATTGACTGGCATCATCCCCTTTCTACTAAATGCATGAATAGCTTATATAGCTTACTGGTTTTACTTAAAAGAGCAGATTGTATTGAAAACAACAACTGCACAACTGCTATTCATCACATCATGTGTGTCTACTAGGTTGAAAACACAAAGCTTTTACCACAAATCCTTCTTTCATTTTCAGTTAGTTTATCATCAGCTTGCAGAATAGCTGTGGTCACTGCAACCTTTTCCTGTAGAAACTTCTCCAACACCTCAGCAATCTATGAGGACACACAAGGGAAGAGTAAAAGTGGTGTTAAAAATATAATATCACTTTACATTCAAAATATATACCACGGTATTGTTATTGCATAATTATAGCTTTAATGCATTTTAACAATAAATAATATTGAAAATATGATTGTCATATTTTGCATAATTTAAAATGTATGACCTTGACTTCTCTGCAGGCCAGTGTATTGTACTGATTCACGATGTCCTCCAGATCCTGGCAGAAGAGATCGTAACCACC